TTTAACACGGCCAGAAGAAACCTCATTGATGCGGCCGGCCACGAGGCGGCACGAGCTTACTGATCGAATACACAACGCAGTTCGGCACGGGGCTGAATATGTGCTTACGGGGAGGAAAGACCACTGGCATTTTTTTTTCATATTATATCAATCAAGTAATGAATAAACACCTCATGAGTTATTGCATCCGCCAAATCGCTTTAAATAAAACAGTGGTTTTCAAAAATGAAGTCAGGGTTCTTGTAGGAATGGAGTAGTAATCCTGATATTGAAAGTCAAAATTCACACACATCTCGTAGTAGAACATTTCTCCCAAGACATCACGGCGCCCCATGGCCAGTCCTGTCAAAATTGATTGATGAACTCCGACGCAACCGCCGAAAGGGGCGGTTCGAGTTTCAGATCAAAGAAGTCGGTACAACTTTCGCTACACGCGTGCCAAGTTGTGGTCGGCAATTCTGTTTTACCAAGGAGAATTACGCTGCCAATAAAATGTTTCAGGGCTTCTATTTTATTCTACGGCGGCCGCTATTAGATGCGGAATACGATTTGGTAACAAATACAAACATAACACAGGCAGGTTGTAGCTTAAAGATTTAAACACAAGGAGCTTTGACTAATTTTCTACTGCAGTTTATATGGATTTTGAACACGTCTACTTTCTGTCAGTGTGTGTTTTTCTACCTTCATGGTGTAACCTACGAAAAGCTGAGGCTATTTTTTAATCATTCAGATTAAGGTTTAAACCTCCTTGTGCAGATTATACTAGTACTAATTTATAGCAAGAATGAATATGGTGTGTCTGATAGTCGGAGACGCAACGGTCGTTTCAAAACCAGCTGCATGAGTCCGTTGCGTGTCATGTTTCCTTTTGTATCGTCGACAGCTCTCACTGAATATAACAGAACTTGGAAAAGTCTCGGGGTCACAACCCCCCATTTTTATATAAGATATATTTCACGTAATTAACTTTTTGTATGTTCTCTTTTATACATACAGGTGCTTAGACTAAAACTGTACGAGGGAGAATACTGCATGCGCATGCCGACCTGTTCTTCCAAGAGTTGTTATCAATATAGTTTTTGGAACGATCATAGTTTGTCCTAACTCTAGATTAAGGTTGCACCTTCTTGTTCCCAGTAACATATAGTGTTGAGACTGAACTGTTTGATATTTCGCTTTGTTGGTTGAATTCTGCTGACATGTGTGAATCCCCACGTTAGTAAAATTATAATTCCCTGAGTATCAAGCTAGCAAACAGTAAGTCAAAACGGAAAAAATCCAGAACAGATATTGGCCAAAACAATTCTATATTGGCAAGACCAAAGAGGTAAAAAAAAAGATCTCCCCCGCAAGGCCTAACGGCATGGATAGCTTTCCTCCGACGATCGGTGTCCGTGTGTAGCCTCCTTCGCAGTCTTGTTGGGCGTGGGCGTAATTTTTTCTGTGAGCGACGCGAGTAATATGCCGCCGCGAGGGACGATTTGCTGCCGAGGGACTTTTGCCACGGAGAGAAGGTTTCCGCGCTCCAACAAGTTGGAGTCGTAAAATGTGGTGAACCCATCGCTGTATTTGCTCCAAAGCAAATATTGGCCTTTCTAGTTATGTTTAGTAGTTTCAACGGGCGCTGCAAATGGTGATGTGTGCACAACGCAAACGTTTCGATACAACTAATTATTACTCCGTGAAGGAGGTCAGGACCTCCGGACGGAGTGTTGTAATCGGCTGATTTTTCATGTTCGCAGTCAAAACACTGGGTTCTCTTTGTGTAATCGGCACGCAATTTTATACGCCGTCTGCGGGCATGCCCGTGTTAATGCACGAATGTGTATTTTTGCCGTTGCTGCTTTCGCGGTCAATGTAATATCGCAGACGCACCCCTACAATTACGAGGCGAATTGGAATGGTCGAGAAAAACGCGTTGTTTGGAATAGCAGTGGGGGGGGGGTAAAAGTTCGATGGCAGATACGGGGTGGTTTTATAAGTGGTTCCAGATGTTTTTGCCCATGGTTAAGAGATGCCAAGTTTTTGGAAGATGTTCGCAG